AACAACAGAACAAGCAGTACTCAATAAAATCTAAGTTTTAGGTTTTAGAGTGGTGTAGTTTGGGTCTAGGACTCAGGAGACCTGGGTTCTAGTCCCTGCTCAGCCATGGAGCTCAATGTGTAACTTTGGGCCAATCATCTCTCTCAGCCCAACCCAGCTCACAGATGAAGAGGAGGAAAATTATGTAAACTGGCTTGAGTACCTTGAAAAGAAAAAGGTGGAATAGAAATAGAATAAATAAATAAAATCAACAACAAATGATATAACTGCAGAAAGATCTAAAAGCATTGCAATAGTTCCTAAAATGCCTCAGAAAATTAAAAAAAGTCTATCTGATGCCAATAAGATCACAACACAGGCAGCAGGTAGCTTTTCCAGGAAGGTCATTCCACAGATGGGATGTCACCATTGAAAAGGCTCTCTCTCTTAAAGACTCATTTTGGCTTATTTTGGTGGGAGCAGTCAGAGAAGGACTGCTGAAGATGACCTTAACGTCTGAGCAGTTATAAATGGGGTGAGGGGGGAATGATCCTTCAGGTGACCCAGCCCCAACCATTTAGGACCTTAAAGATTAAAACCAGATCTTTAAATTGGGCCTGGAAATAGACTGTCAGCATACTGGCATAATACGACCATATCCACCAACTAGTATTACTTATCTAGCTGCTTTGTTTAAACTAAATGGTTTGGGGACTGGTGGAATTTTGAATCGCACCCCCATACATAACTTTTCACTATCATCCAAATGGGAAGTTTTGCAGGATGTATTGCAAAGCTACCTTGTCCAGGCAAATATAAATTTTGCAATTGATATAATAGCCTAGCTTATAAATCACTCACTAAAACCAACAAGGCTACTGAGGTCTCTAGTGACAATAACTGATCCAAGCACATCTCCAGGCCTGGTGCCCTCCAAATGATGTGGACTTCAGCTACTAAGATGTCTGACAATTGGGAAATGGAAGCCCAAAACATCTGGAAGGCACTGGGTTCAGAAAGGCACTTTATGGAGTGTATAATGACTTCCAGAATAGGGAAAACAGCACTCAGATAGTTGAATCACTCATAAGCTGTATCTGTGGTCTGGACTGAGGTGCTGTTTATTGGCTCTCCCCCAGTCCATTAACTTTCTGAGCACAGGTTCACAGTATCAACTTCCTCACCTGCATCTGATGAAAAGGAGAGAAAGAACTGGGTATAATGTGATATAACTTCACCCAGTGATTTCATATGAATGTTAGCAAGCATGGAGGAGATAAGTTGAACCTGATTATATGTGCCACTAGGCAGAACAATAATCCTCCAGCACCACCTTCTGGAAACAGCTGTCCATGTAGACATGGAACCATTGCAATATAATGTCCCCATATCTAAACTCAGACACCTGGTCCAGAAGCATACTTTGGCTAATGGCGAAAGTATAAGCTGCAGAAAGGTTCAGGAGAATCTTGGCTCAGACTCCCTTGGCAAAGATCATCCCATGGGACAAACAAGGCAGTTTCTGTCCCAAAACCATGCCTGACCAGTTTCATTCTCTGTGCATAGAATTAATCAGTGACCGTCTGCTTAAGTACCCCAAGCATTAAAGTGTGTAATAACCCTATTTCTTAGTGCATGACCAGGCACTGTTCTTTTCTTTTCGAGTAAAATGGTGAACAGACTGCTTAACCATAGCTTGGTTAAACTTTGGCAGGCTCAGCTAGGCAGAGATAGAAAGTCCAGATTTGTGGCCTAATTTTGGCCCCAGATTAGCAGATGTCCACCCATCTCCTCTTCCCTTTTCTGATCTTCCCCATCCCTGCATCCCTCCAGCAGAATCAGGCTGAGCTGTATTTACATTTCCTAAACATGACCTTGATGCCACTCAGTGGATAAGAAGCAGTACTGCAAGGAGCATGGTAATACAATGAGAACTCAAAATAGTTAGCATCTTCAGTGATGTGGGATGGAAAATTCTCCAGTGCTTTATTTATTCCAAGGACAATTTTCCATTTCATTAATAAAAACTAATATATGCTGACTACAAATACAACCTTAGGCAAGCCTGGCAATTTTGTAATTGTTGATTTTCGGGTTGTTATTATTATTATAACAGACATATATCTTATTGAAATACATTTCAGTCTCAGAGTGAAATCGAACTAATAAATAATGACCAAGAAACTGAAGGCACACAAACAAATGTAATGAAGAGAGCTGAATTCTGTTGAAATAATGAATGGTTTTTAGCATATCATGTACAAATCATTGGATTGTTAAAATTAATTAGTAACAAACGTTTTCAGTATCTTTGTTTAACCTGGGGTACTTTTTAAAGCTTTGCTCTTTATTAAATACAAATAAAAGTTGTCACACAGATCAATCACTTCTTGATCATCCCAGAGCACAGAAAAATGGGCTCAAGTTACAGGAAGCCAGTTTCTGGCTGAACATCAGAAAAAACTTCCTGCCTGTTAAAACAATGTGACAATGGAATCCATGGCCTAGGGAGGTGACGGGCTCTCCCACACTACAGGCATTCTAGAGGCAGCTGCACAACCATCTGTTAGGGGTGCATTAATTTGGAATCCTGCATCAAGCAGGGGGCTGGACACAATGGATTTCTTGGCTCCTTCCAGCTCTGCTATTCTATGAGAACAAACATGCTAAATTAAATCTCTCTAGGGCAGGAGTGTACAACCTGCGGCCCTCCAGATATTTTGTCTTACAGCTTCCATCATCTTTATTGCATTTATTTATATCGGCTTTTATATACTATTAATTGGCATGGAGCTCTCAGAACCCTAATTAGCACAGCCTATGGTGAGGTATAAATAAAACCGTAGGCCAAAGTATCTGAAGAACCACAAGTAGCCCAACCCTGCTGTGAGGTGTCAGAACATTTTCTGATGTAAAATGAAAAGCCTTCTATGCAAATTAACCTTTTTCCATTGAGAGATTTTCCATAAAATTTTCCAGTGGTCATTATTTATATGTTTATAGCATGCCACTTCATTTCATTTTTTAAAGATGTGATTTTCCTTTTAATTACTAGTAATTTTAAAGTGCCATGACTTAATATGGTGGGCACCTTGCAGATCTCTCAGTGCTTTGGTCTGCAACTCTCAATAGTCCCTAACCAGCATCAACAACTGTGTGGGAGCATGTGAATTGGAGGGCCACAAATAGCTCACCCCTGACCTTGGACACAATCCCTAGATGCTGTCTAGTTAACCATAGTAAAGACCAGAGTTCTAGTTCCAGCCTTGGAAATATGTTCCTAGGCTGGAGCTGGAAGACTACCCTTAGGCTCGACCCTTAGACCCTTAGTTCATTCCATGCCAGCTGCAGTTTCAAGGACTGAGGACTGGCCTCAGAGCCAGCATTGGATGGATTTTGTGAGGAAGAGAGAGGAGCAGCAGGTGAGAGATAGAATGATGGGGCAGCACTTTCAAGGTTACAGTCCAACCTTGAAGTTTTGCTGAAAAGAATTATGAAACAGAATTGCTTATGTCCTTTGGATTACAGGCAAAGGGCAGAATCCACTGAGATTCCAAGTGTAAATGGACAATTTCTATCATATATATCACTTGAACAATAGCTGAATATCTAAGTCATTTGTAGCCCATTGAACTATGTCTCTAACTTCAAGACTTCAACACAACTCATTCTCCTGAGGTTTCATTATGTAGTCCCAGTGAAATGAAAGGAAAAGGGATACCACTTTTACCTCTACTGACTCAGAGGAGACTCCTTCTCCCACTGTTCAACCTATGCTGTCAGCTACTGGTGTGATATACAAAGCCCTAAACAATTTGGGAACAGGTTACTTTAGGGATCGCCTCACTCCCTATGTCCCTACCCAATCAATGTGATCATCAGAAGGAACACTTCAAGGGGTGTCATATGCACTAGATCATTTAAGGCAGACTGGGAGTTGAAGGATTTTTTCTCTCTAAACTTGCATAAGATTGTGCTTTAAGTGTTGCAGCACCTACCCTCTGGAGTACCATACCAATTGACATTATACACAGGCTTTCTCTGAAGTGTGATATTCCAGCTAGGTTGTAGCACACTGGAGAATGTGTGGTTTTACTATTAATTTATTGTATTGTTTATTAAGCTGTTTATTGTTACATTTATTGTTTTAATGTTATTGCATTTTATGCCCAATGCTTTGCTACACCTCTGAAAAGTGGTATATAAAGCTGAGTTATCAGTAAGAGGTATGGATCAACTCATTAGAGTATCCTCTATGAGCAATACAGTAGGTGTCAGGTGCTTCCTAGGGCACTACAAAGGTGCCTTGGCTACCCACAGGGTCTCCATCTGGACTTGAGCCTGAAAACAAAGGAAAAACATGAGTGCAATGAGAGGAAGCTGCAACTAAATAAGCATGTTCTGTGACACTGGATAATATCTTCACTGATCATCATTACTGTTACCGCATCAACCTCAGCTTCCAATTTCCAGGCTCTGTGGAGCATGAAGTTATGCAAACCAGACTCAATTCTGGTCTTACATCAGTTTTAGAGCAATGAATAATTTGAATGACTTGCTCGTATTTTGGGAGCTCAGCTCATAGTAAGATGATATGTATACTTATTCTCATATTGTGTGTATGTGGCCAACTTACCTGCAAGATTTCTTATCTTCACTTTCATTTTCAAAGATGCTGAAGCAAGTACTAAATTTTGAAACCAGCAAAACTGGCATCAATCCCACGCATGCCTGCTCAGGCATAAACCTTCCTTACATCAATGGGACTGATCCCCACGATCTACCAACACACACACACGGCTGCGGCTCTCCCTTAACGGCGCACACTACTCAGCAAGCTGGAAGAGACCGGCGAAACTTCTTCGCTCTGGCCACGCCCTTCGCGCCGAGCCCAGCCAATCGGCTTCCAGCCCGACGCGGCGTTAAGTGGAGTCGGAGCGTGTTCCGCCCTCAGCGCGAGCGCTCTACCTACTCCCGACGGCGGTTTGTACAGGACAAAACTATTCACGGATTTTCACCTGTACCTGCGCTCTCTGTCAGAGGCGATGAGGAGGGGGTCTGAACACGTGGGAACAGAGGGTCCCGTTTAGCCCCGCCTTCTTTGTCTAGAGCCCGCCCCCTTCTTCCTGTCCAAGCTCTGCTCGTTTGTTTGGCTTTCTACCCGCCTTACCTCCGGTCAACGCATGCGTGGTAGAATCTGTCGCGATGGAGCAGCTCCTGGAAGAGGTGCCGCTGCGCTTCTCTCGGTTGCCCATGTTCCCCTTCTTCGACTTGGCGCATTACGCGGCTTCCGTGATGACGCTGAAGGAGCAGCGGGGTGAGTGAGTCAGTGGGGTGAACAGGGGAAGGTGCCCCGAGCTACAGTGCCAGCTTTCAGAGCTGCGGGGGCGGACTCGAGAGGAAATAGCAGCAGCTCCTGAACATGTGCAGAGTGATGTCTCGAAGAGAGGCAGCCAGCATTGAAACTGCTGTACGAGCTCGCAGTTGTAATATTGTCTTGCTTGTCAGCTGTATGTTGTTCGGAGGGCTTGTGCTGAAGAGTGGCCCACACGTTTTCTAAGCATACGCACACATTTTCAATATTTGGGACTTGGGTTTTCAGGACAGACAAAAAAGAGTTTATTCATTTATTAAAGTTAATATATCACACACCTAGCAAATGTCCTAGGGGTGGTTTTTAATCATGATGAATTTATGAGATTTGCTCCCACGAAATTTGATGTTGGGAACTAGCTCAGGTGTCCTTAAAGATATGGAAGAGAGGTCTGCCAATGGTTTTTGTTCTTGAAATTTTTATGGACCTTCTATATACAGAGGCAACATGCACTTGTTGCTGTGGGGCCTTCAAGTCCTGCTTGCTAGCTTCCCAGGGGCATCTGGTTGCTACACTAGGAAACAGGGTTTTGGACTAGATAGATCATTGCTCCCATTCACTAGGGCTCTTGCTCTGTATAGGAAAGAATAATAGTGCAGGTGTTGAATTTCTTTCTTTCTAAATCACATGACCATAATAACCTATATATATCAGGGAAAGGCAGCTAAGATCTGTGGCAGGGAACAGTGAATCCCAGTAACAAGCCTATTTGTTTATTTGATTTATATCCTTTCCTTCAACAGTTTCCAGGAGATTGTTTACAAAAGTTAAAATTACAGTCACATTAATCCAAAATAGGAACAGGAAGATCCCATAGTATAAAAGCAGTCAGCAGTACTAAAGCAAATGCCAAGTAGCATAAAAACAGTGTACAAAGTACTTAAAATTACTGGGAAAATAAAAACGAACAAACTGAATTTGCCTGGTGCTGAAATAGCAGTATAACAAGTTTATGGAAAGCAATATGCAGAGTAGATCTGAGTACTATCATGTATCCGTCAAGGAATTAGAGGCATTTCTTTTTTTATGTTATACTTTCTTCAGAAATAGAATTTTAAGTGGCAGCATCTATGGGATGTCCTGGCAGTCTCCCATCTATAAAATGACCAGCTCTAGACCTGCTTAATTTAAGCAAGCTTGTTACATTTTCTAGCTTCATTCCATGAGTTCATACATGGGAGAGGTTGTGAGACCCCATAATGCTTGTACTCCAGAGTTACCTTTTCAGAAATTAAATGCTGTACTGTGGGGACTTTTGCCTTGTACAGTCTGCCCATTTCCATAGTCCTTGTCCTATATAGGAGGCTGCCGTGCAGCTGTCTCATCACATATTTGGTCCTTGCTTTCCTTTTGTCTTTTCTGGGACCCTTGGCCCCTCTTAGAGTCGCCGAGACTGACATATTTAAGCAGAAAAAAGTACTTCTTCATATCCAACTCTTAACTAATTACTGGAAATGATTACTTCAGAATGCCACAATGGCCACTAACTTGGATAGTTTTTTAAAAAGATTAGAGGAAGATGGGTCTCTTGGTAGCTATTTGCCATGATAGTTAAATGGAACCGCCATTTCTTAATACGACCCAAGAACAAGCAGGTTATGACTGTTGGCTTCATGCCATGCCATGAGAATGTTTGATGAGATGGACCTTTGGTCTGAGCCAGCAGGGCTCTTTTTATGTAACATCCACTGGGAGATTTATTTGTGGGACATTGTAGTGGGGCCATTCAATTCCTGCTTTTGCAGAATGCAATGGAAACATTCTCTAATGCCAATAGTAAACTTTTCCCTAGATGGATTGCACAGTGAATCAGTTCATCCTGTATATAGAATGGACTTGCTTTTTTTCACCTGGAACAGCCTCGCTATTATCAGAGAAGGAAAACAGAAATCCTTGGGCAAAGTACTGTAATACTTAAAGAAATTCACACTGATCCTTGGTTTTGGCCTTTACAAAATGCTTGGGCATGCATATGTGGCCAGTCTTACATTCCATCTAAACTAGGTTTTGCTTCAGTTTATTGCCAGTCATGCTTATATTTCTAGCTGATCACATCTTCTGTACCCAGGCACAAGTGTCAGTAAAACTCTGAACCTTTAGTGACCCTCTGTTCCTTGCTGTAATGGACCAGAGCCCAAACATAGCTATATGATCAGGCTGAGCATATTTAGGGAGTTGCACATTCTGTCACACCCTACTGGCACCAGATAAACCTAGAAAACACGGTGAACATTTGTGGGGGTGGGGTCTCTGTGTGGGTGTGGCAAACATGGGGAGTATAACTGCAAGATCAAGGTATGACTGCAAATCTGTGTAATCTGCATAAGCAAGAGGTTAAGGGAATGTCTGGGAGGAAAAGTTCATTACATTGTTATATACTGCATTCATTTTGTTGAATGAATGCAGGTGAGAATCTGGGAAAAATCTTACTGGATTCTTGCCTAAGAGCTTTGCATATCCAGTGGAATTTTTGACTCTGAACAGTAGATTCCCATTCTCTATTGGAATCTACTCTTGAAAGTACACTTGGTTTCCAGAGTAGTTTTTCATGTGGCATGACAGGCAGAAGAGGTTAAGCTGTAAGAGAAACAGAAATGCAATGCCTTCCTGGGCACACAGTGCAGTTTTCCACATTACTTTGTATCCCAGACATTAAACTCAGCCCAGCCCAGCCCAGCCCAGCCCGCACCAAACCAAACCAAACCACACCACACCACACCACACCACACCAAACCAAACCAAACCAAACCCCTTTACTGTCTCATGTGTTCTTTTACTTTGTGGTGTTGAGGCTATTTTCCAGTTGTGTCTTTAATTCAATATAAAGTAATTAAGTGAGGCTTCACTGAAATAGTGAATTTTATTCCTGTCTCAGCAAGGTAACAAAATGCTACTTTCCAGTAATTAACTTAAAGTTTGGGACTCACTCATAGACCGTGTCTGCATGACATAAAAACTCTTCAGGGCTAACTAGCCGTGATTGTCATGTTGTGCAAACCCAGACTGCTTCCCATAGGGTGGCTTATTTCAGGGCAACAAGCCACTGTGAAGGCAATGGCTTATTCTAGCGTTTGTCAAACCCACAATAACCCAACTCATTAGTTGTGCCATCTAAACTAAGAAGACCAATCCCAGCATAGATTGGGGGAAGTGGTGAATGAGCCATTTGGGAAAAGTGACAAACTGTGTTTAGCAGATCTACTCCCCTGATAGCCAAGTTACACTTTGGAGTGACTGTTGCTGGCTTGTTGAAATGTGTATAGCTGAGATTGGAGTGACTTTGCTGCAGAAATGTGCATAACTGAGATTGGCTCCCCCGCCCAGTATTAATCTTTTCTCTCATCTTTTTCAGGTGCGCACTTAGGCCTATTCAAAATGTGGAATCTTGCCTGGCTGATACCCTGGTAAATGCATGCTATCAAAGTGCAGTAGGCAACATCCATGGACACTGGTCAAGCAAGGCTACATTTAGGTTAACTTGTGCACATTTGACAGTTGCCAGTTAAAAAGCGAAGTGACATGCATATTTCCATATCCAAGAAACCCCCTGGAAGTTTAAATTTACCAGATAGGTCTTCCAAAATGAATCATTGCCCTTGATAGCTTTTGAAAGTAAATACTCAGAAAAAGGAGGTGGGAAATAGATCACCCATTCCTGGAGTGGCTCAAGGAATTGTGGAAAAGATGGAGGGTGCTGGGTTTTGTCAGAGCACTCCTTGAAAACTTGAGGATTGCACTGTCATGGGGGCTGTACTCATCACCCCGTTTGGGGACAATCCCATTTCACTGTTTTGCTTTTCACTTGAAAGCTCGCCTGTTGACAGCTGTCACATGTGTGCAGATCAACCTATATGCAGCTTTGTTTTGTCAGTGGCCGTGGATGTTCCCCGTTACATTTTGGTAGCAGCTGCATACCAGGACATTGACCAGGCAAGACTCCCCATCTCAGGCAGCTATAAGTTCACACTTGGAAAAACCAACTCAAAAACAAAACTACGCACATTCTGCCCCCTGCTCCCCCAGAAAAAAGGAAGGCAAAGAAAAGGGTAATAATCCAGTCATGGTTGTTCCAAAGTGCCTCTTGGGCATTGGTGGAACAGCTGTCAGTGGTGTCAGCACTAAACCTCTGCAAGGTGGCTACAGGAAAAATGAAAAGAAAAATGGAGCTTGGCAATACCAGAGCTAAGTGGTATGTTGCATACAGGTCAGTTGGAGTCATGCTAACCTTCCAAGTTCCCTGTTGCTGATGCTGCTTTGCTAGACATGGTGTAACAGTCTGCCGTCCCTTGTCCTCTCACTGGTGGGAAGGGCCAAAGTGCCCTTAAATATTAATAGGTCATTAAAACATATTTCTGAATGTTTTCATTTTATGGTGCAAATCAAATGTATGAAATGTGTGCTTGCTTGTCTTCTGATCTGCTCCCAGATCTTTCTGAATTTTTATTTGTGATATAGGGAGATTTGGTTTGTTTAACAACGCTCTTGTGTTCCTGGCTTGTCATTTAGTAAACCTGATAGTTCTTCCCATTAATTATCTCCCTTGTTAACCTTGTCAAGAACACAGTCAAGCTTAATTAACTGCAGCATTAATGCTGGAAGATACTTTGATGGGCTTCGTGTGAACTGAATGGTGATCCTCTAATTCTGAGTTGTAATAATAACATGCAGCAGAAATGTGAAAATTTGATCTTTTATATTAGATATTGGTGATACATATATAACAATTACTTTAGCATTTATGGAAGTATTTCTATAGATTTAAATTGCAAATGTACCTAAATATGGCAGGATCTTCTTTTGCAGATTATCTTTGATCTTCACCTGTCTCCTTGATAGTATAACTGATATGCTGAGCAGCTGGGTGAAACAACCCACAGTTCTTGGTTCCCATGTAATGCCAGTCTGTTGTTTAAATGGAGTTCAGAACCCAACAAAAAGGGTCCCCCCCCCAGTTATGTATCATTAACAGACCACCTTAACATGGCAATGTTCCCATAACATTGGAACCCAAAATTAATGGTTACTGTTGTGGGAGAACCAGAGCATTCCGTTTGCTTAAATTCCTTGCTTCCTTGTTTACATGTTCTTAGAAGAAAAGCATAATAGTTAATTTTAAAATTAGTTTGGAATTTTGCAATGGAAAGAGCTGTAGCTGAGTGTCCTTTGAATGTAGCCCTGCATTGTGTTAGAATGCGGTTGTGGTTGTCTTCAGTACTCTGACTAGCACTTTCAGATTGTCTTGACTCAAACAGCCAAAGCACCCAAATTCTAAATATATATTTATTTATTTATTAAAACATTTTTATGTTGGCTTTATATGGCTTTCATTTTTCCTCATTCAGTAACTACTGATGTTTTTGAGGAATCTTCTTTGGAGACAGTTTTCATAGTTTGCCCAAGTATTTCATCATGTTAGTTGAATGGGAACAAAACCTTGTAAATAGGTCTGCTACAATTTTTTCCTTGTCTCTTTCGAAATACTAGAAAATGCAAGTTATTCGTGAACTTAAAAATGGTGGTGGTGGGGAAATGCAAGCCCTTTTCTGCCTAGTCTTCTGGAACTGGTTTTATTACCATATGGGAGCAAGCTAGAGGCTATTTATAAGCCCAGCTTGGAGCCCAGTGCTCAGCCAAATTAAAAGGAAATACTAGATGAAATCAGTGGGCTTGATAGTGCAGTTCTTAGCATGTGTACTCAGAAATAAGTTTTTCTTTCTGTGGGATTTATTGTTTTAGTAAGTCTGCTTAGGTTTGTAGTCTGAGTCTTTTATGCTATAGATTCAGTTGGGTTGTATATTTACTGCTTTTCAGTTTTTGCCCTTCTGTTTCTGGAGCAAAGCTTACAGGATAGATTGGATTGTAAGAAGAGGTTTATCTAAATATAGTAAAAATAAAAAATGATGTTTTATTGTTAATACAAAATACAAGAGAGCAGTTTTTAAGGAGAATGTATGGGTGTTTTCAGATGAAGCTTTTAGTGAGCTATCACCCTGCTTCATTTCATAGATTTTTTTAAAAATAGGGATCTAAATGAGTTCTGTTTGTTACCCTTCCACATTTTCCCACTGCTGCTTGTGTTTCTTTTCCTTACCATAGAAAATTTGTTAAGGAGGGAAAGAAAAAATTGTTGCACAATATCTTTTGACTAGTAGTACTAAGAGTTGTCTATCTGGAAGTAGTGTGGGTTCTAGTCAGTGTGGTTCACACACACCCAGGAATGCCACAATGGATTTCAATATTGTTCGTGAAAAAAATAATAAGAGAATGAACTTAGGGCCTATAGGTAGCATCTAGGGAGCCACAGGTGCAGAAAACAGAATTCTGAACTTGGGTCTTCCCTCTAATCCCCCTCTACCTGCGTTAATCCAGCTCAGAAGGAAAAGCTGCTTCTCCTGGTTCAGAAACTTGACCTTAGAGAAAGCGTAAAAGGGATAGTTTTGGGGGAGGGGGAGGAGACTGGGGCTGCCAGGAATATATTTGGGAAGAACTCTAGTTTCCTTCCTAACCCTAACCCTCTTCTGAGGTCCCTCTTAGATGGCTGAAATAGGGCGAAGTAGAAATCAGGAAAGTAGAAATCACCTCTTCCTCTTCTGCTGCTCTGTTCTGAATTCTTGTAAACCTCTGAGTTTGGAGACATGCAAGCATTGAGGGTGCAATCAATAGGAAATTAAGTGCTGGAAACTGGATCAACAACTTGTAAAGGATCCTCATGACCATACTAATGTAGAATGTTATAATAATGCAGTTGACTGCTAGGTTTTGCTATCATTATTCATTTAAGTTTCTTGCAGGGAAAATGGGAAGAAATCCAGAAGTCTTTATATCCTAGTCAGTCCTGCAAAGTAACAAGTAAAACAACTAAGAAATTTTGTATCTATCTATATAGGAAGCCACTTCTTGCATTTGATGGACTGGTTTTCATGCCACAGAAGTTTAAACCATAGGATATTTGCTAGTCTTTAAGGTGCCTCAAGATACTATCAAAGCTACGTTTCTGGAAGCTGTCAATCAATACCTACTTCTTTCTTTTAAAGTTCTTGTTACACTGCCATTTGAGGATCAATATTTTAGGTGTGCACAGTCTTTAAGAAGAATGCTGTATGAATTCGACAAGGCAATACTTGTGTTTTTAGGTTGATGACTAAATGGAGAAAATTTCTGAATGCTATTCAAAATACCAGATTTCATCAAGAAAGATTCCTGTTTCATATCATCACAGATTTATTTATTCCAAACATTGTTTAGTCAGACAAGGCCTCACGAAGTATCAAACACACAGAATGCCATGATATGCAGAATAAGTCAGCATGCAGTAGAAACAATAACTTCATGAAGAAAACTATGTTTTTTTTTGAGGTTAAATACCTCCAACTTGTACCTCCAATTTAAAATTCAGAAGAGTGTGGAGAAATTCTGCTACTTTCCTAGGGGGGAGCTTGATACAATCTGAGGAGCTTCTTTGTGACACTGTGCATGATGGCATTTTTACTTATTTTGTATAATACATTACCAGTGCAATAACGAAAGCCTGGTTTCTGGAAACAAGTAAATTAAAGAGCACTGTAATGATTTGACTGCCTTCAGGTTTTTGTCCTTTCGGGGAAGAATAAAGGTGAGAGGCTTTAATAGCAGAAGTCCTTATAAAGTACTCTTTGTATTTTATATTGTTTTCAGGAGCAGTTGAAATTTCGATTCACAGCCCCATTGCTTGCTGGTTTAGTGCTATGCTTTACTGCTTTGGCGGGTCCATTTTATCTTCCCTGATGCTAGCAGAACCTCCAGTTGCATTTCTTGCCAACACTACCAGTGTCCTCCTTGCCTCATCAATCTGGTAAGTCACTTTTAAAACAAAGTATATTGCTTTAAGAACAAAGACATGCTGAAAATTTGGAAATAATACTTCAAACAAATGATTTAAACTTAAAGTTGGACTACAGCTCCCATTAATCTTCACCACTGGCTCTGCTGGCTCCTGCTGAAGGGCATTAAAGTCCCACAACATCTGGAGAGCTACACATTGTCCACCCTTGGTTTTAGGGTTACAGATAATGCAGGGATCCTGGTTGGTTTATAGCTTGAATTTTAATATATTAAATGTGCAGAAATATGCATGTTAATAAATCTGCATTTGAAAGAAAAAAGCATGATGATAAAGCAAACTCTCCAATCGGAAAAAGAGCAAGAAAAAAGTATTTTCTCATGTGCCTGCTATTCATGATTTTGTAAGTACTTAAAATGATTTTTAATACAAGCTGCTGCCTAGGCACCTAGATCAAAAGGTTTTTAATTAATCTAACTAGCAAATTAACTAAAGTGTTGCACATGTAATTTTTAAGCACCTTCGTTGCTTAGGATGGAAACTAAAAAGTATACAAAGACCTAAATTGAATGTACAGTTACTGGAAGAAATTGCTGTCTTAGTGGAACACCATTAACTTTTCCCACTTGTGTAAAGCACTAGTGCACCAGTTTGTAAACCTAAGATGTGCAAGCAGTTGTGCAAATAAAATGTTCCTTGGCTTCCACAATGTCATCTGCACTAGTGGAATGACACCACTGGGTGCAATTTCTGTTGGTGCTGTGATTTATATTGCATTTATTTCTTGCCCTTTTTTTTTCTTCTTGTAAGGAATCCAAGGTGTTTTACATAGCTCCATCTTAGCCTCATAGCAACAATGCTGTGAGTTAGTTAGGCTGAGTGACGGGCCCAGCGTCACCCACTGAATTTCATGGCTGAATGGGGACTATGACCCAGATCTCCCGGGTCCCCAGTCCAGCACTTTCATCACGACACCACTGCACTTAACCACATTGCATTCATACACGTGTCCCAGTCCAGCTTCTGGATCGGGATAAATCAGTCAATCAGCCATTTTGAGGATTTGCGGCAGACCTGGCTGTGCACAGTCCTGATTAGCTGATCGCTGTGCATCAGGTTCCCTCCTCTTTTTCTTTTGCCCTGCTAGCTGTTTTATATTGTTTTAAAAATTGTTTTTTTTTCCAAGTGCACCGAAGGTATGTTAACTTGAATAACAGTAGATACAGTACTTTAAAAATAATTTTAAAAGCTAAAATTACTCTACATTTCAGGCTGATCAACAATTTCAGGTCCTCATTCAAATTGCTGGCATGTATATCTGAATTAAGCAAAGGTGGGAGAAAACAGGATTTTTTCTATTGGCAGGGGAAAAAGAACCACCTGTAACAGCTGTTTGTTTAAATTTGTTTTGAAAGCATTCATTGATGCTTCTTCTGTGAAGAAAAGTCTTTTGCATAGTTACTTGGGATTAAGTCCAAATTTAAATTCTGTGGGCTTGGCATCAGGTAAGCAGAGATCAGATTAGGTGAACCAAATTTCTGCATGGGACTGTAAACAGAAACCAGTAATCGGACTGCTTTATGAAGGTGGTTCTTTCTGAATACACAACATGTGATAACATTTAAGCTAAGAAGAGGAATGAAAATGCATATACATGCTAGTGATTTCGGTAAGCTAGGGTCGTATGCCCTGTGTACGAATTTCCTTCAGACAGAGAGACCTGGCCACATTTGCAATTGGTGTAGAGGAGAATTTGATGTCTTTTTTATCCATACTTTTCAGATTTCTCACTAATTGGTGATGCTCATTAGTGAACAGTTTTGAATGAGGCTTGAACTCTTGAATCTCAGCCCTTTGTTACTTGTTGGGACATGACCTATTGAATTAACCCTTCACTGTCTGTAGCTCACATGTTGCTATGCTTTGCTGAGTACGCAGGGTGGATGGTGGGAAATAATGAAGGCAAAGCCTCACTTCTGAGTTCAAGCAGTACTGAGATCTTTTTCTTGATATTTTATTGGCTTGAGAATTGGCTTCTGCTTCACCCATTCTAATCATGGCATTGGGAGCAAAATGTACAGTAAACCATGGCTATGTTTCCTTCTGTGAACAGTTCATGCTCACAAAAGGCTGCATTCCCACCTCTCCTTCCCGTCTGGTCCCCACATCTATTCCTGCGTATTGGAAGTCCCTTGGAGATGGTGTGGAGGGGGAGTTGACAGAAATCCCCCCACAAGATATTCGGGGGAGCAATTTAGAATATAAGCTCATGTGTTCCCAGTCATAATTATTTTAGAATGCATGAATCTCAGACTGCATTATGAGTAATGATCCATGGCTTGACATGTAAGCTACTGGCAAAAGATACAGTTAAAGTAAAAGTTACATGCAATGATTGTGCTTGGGGATTTAAATGTTTATTTTTGCAGAATAAAATGGTGTTTAAGCAGAATAAATAAATAAATAATGCTGGTACTTGGGTAATTTAATGCCAGGGAAAGTTAAATTGCATCCTTTGTCTTGTTTATGCTGTTATCCTTGCTAGGAGAATTTGTACACTACAGGTTTCCTATGTTAAGCAGTGCAGTAGAGCAGTGATCTTTTCCCTAAGAGTTTAAGGCTGTCTCTCTATAGTAGTGTTGGTGAACCTATAGCATGCGTGCCCCAGTGGGCACGCAGAGCCCTCTCTGTTGGCATATGAGCCAAGTCGCCCCAGCATCCCTCCAGCAGCCGAGCATTGGATAACAGCGCACATAGGGGCCATGCGCATGCTCGGAAAGGAGTAGCGGCGCCAGGTGATGGTGTCACAAGCCGCGACCCATTAGCCACAACTCGTCCAAGCTTTTGCATGGCCGGTCATTGTGCTGCCAAGGATATTTATATATTTGCTTGGACTGGCTGTTTGTTGTTTTTTTTCTAAACTAAAACCTCAGTATTCAGGTTTTATTGCAGTGTTGGCACTTTGTGATAAATAAGTGGGTTCTGGGTTGCAGTTTGGGCACTCGGTCTCTAAAAGGTCCACCATCACTGCTCTATAGGGTGCAATCTAATAGCACAAGTACCTTTAGACATACATGTCTGCATGTTCAATTAATGACTTTTATTTAAACTGTGGCTGTAATGAGTTGAAAAAAGCAGCACATTCATTTTAGCCATGCTTCTCTGGCATTGAATTTTTCAATACAGCCATGATTGACAGAAGCTGCCCTACAGAGATCTGCCTTTTTCCTGGTTTAAAGTCTGTGTTTAGAACTTGGCTTCTGTTGTGGCTCTTGCAGCAGCCTTTAGGAGGCATTAAAGACCACATCCTTCTTGCAACGAAAGAGGCTCTTGATGGGGCCCATATGCCCCCCTAGCTTCAAGTAGGAGCATTGTAGTTACTGTTTAAGCTGCACAAACCAGGAAGGATATACCAGCGTGCTCCATGTACTGCTGCATTTCTTCTTCTTTCCTCCAGCACGGACAAGCCCCATCAGCGTCTTGCTGTCAGTTTGCTTGGTGCAGCCTTGTCTGCAGGGAAAGCAATTCTTCAGCGTGGTTAGGGACAACCACTTGCTTCTCACTGCTGGGTTGGTGAAAGCACACCCAGGTTTTGCTCACAAATGGGAAAGTTTCCAGGGGACTTCTGACAAGATGTGGAGGGGCAAAAAAGGTGGGGCACAAAGGTGTCTAAAAATAAAGACTGCTCAGAACTTTGCTTTAGAAACTATGAAGATTGGGGTACCTGTACATCAGTTGCTTGACAGTCTGACTGCAGTGTAGGTAAGTCAAGAGGCAGAGGTTCAGCCATCACAGAGTTCCTTCTCCTCTCATCGAATGGTTTTTACATGGATGGAAGGATGGATGGAAATGCAGGCATGAGGAATCTGGCCTGCGGTTTTTCTGCATCCACCTACAAGTTTCTTCCCCATGCTCTCCCTTCTGGCAGGAAAAGCTCCTATCTTGGATCAGCAGCTGCTCAGAAATAAAAGCTCTTCCCTGCTAAGTACTAAGAAAAGCTCAGTTATTTAGCACTGAGCAGGGAAACTCTGCTAATTAGAGATAAGAGCTTTTTCCTGCTTGGAGAGGAAGCTGCTGAGGAAGTACTCAATCCTCCTTGTTTCATAGGCTTCTCCTGCAGAGGCATGTCTAAAATGCATTAGAATTGCATTTGGCCCTATGCACTTGGCCGTTGGATGAGCTCACCTCACCTTTGGGCCTGTCCGGAAATGGAGTTGCAGCTCCCTCAGACCTTTGCCAAATATGAATTCTGACCTTGAACTGAAAAAGATTCCCTCCTTAGCATGTCTAAGAGTAGGGTTTTTTTGTTTTTGTTTTTGTTTTTAACTTCGAAGAAAATATTTCCCTTTCTTCCTCTAAAATGGCTCATAAGAAACTGGATCAGTTGCTTGATGCATGAAATTGTGTGGATTTGGGACTGGAGGTCAGAGGAATAGATATCCTTGTAAAATAAGGATAGTCTGGGGAGATTATGTCAAATGCAGAAAAAACAAACCAGAACCAATGAGCAGTATTAAATGCTTAGTTTTTCAGTCAAGCCTATTTATATCTGCCACCTCTCTTCATGAGACTTCCAGATATATGAGCACTGATGATGCATGTTAAATGTGACCTCAGTGAACTGTAGCATAAAACCAGCCCTGCTTAGGAATGCTTTATTGGCCATAAAAGTATCTCAGGCTTTAAAATTATTTCCTCTAAAGAATGCTTAAATATTAGATAAAAACTGAAATTGTAATTTTTGTTCTATTGATCAAGCTATCACTGGGAAAGATGATCGTTGTCTGCTGGTGACATCTACTGGTACCTGTTGGAAACATTTATTAGACATTCTTCAGAGGGGCAGTCTTTGTCTATCTGTCTAATGCCATAGACTCAGATACTGTCTGCTACTTTCCCTGATACCAGGACATAATAATGAATCTTTTTGATCTACCTCTCAAGCTCATGCAAATATGCTTATGTGCATTGTCTATGTCTGTCTGAAGTAATATTTCTCTAGTTTTTAACAT